TGGGGACTAATCAGTGTCATCTACGGACACTTAAGGAGATAATGAATGGCAAGGCAAACTACATACTCCTTGGGCTTTCCAAGAAATGACAAATGATAATGACTATTTTAAAAGCTGGAAGCAAAGAGGATATGGACATGCTTGTTCTTCTGTGAGTGATAAATGAGAAAGGGGTGCTTTATTTGTCATCACTGTCATTTTCTAAGGCAGCGGTTTCAAAATGTGATCTTCTTACCAGCAGTATCAGCCAACAGCTTACAAGAAATGTCCATTCTCAAGCCCAGCCCTAGTCCTACTAACTCAAGAAGCCCAGCAAACTGTGGAGTCTAATAAGCGCTCCAGGTGATTCTGGTGGACCCTAAAGTCTGGGAGGAGTTGTATTAAAGTTAGTAACTCAAGGTCATGGAGGTTGGTCTGTGAGCCCACAATGGACAGGGTTACTAGATTAACCTTCTAGCTCTATTTTCCTGAAAACCTAATAAAGGGTGAATGTTCTCTTACCAGGCAAGATAGCTTATAGTAAAAATGACCTCAGTTGGTAACTGTAACTAGACTAGGAGAACTGGAAATAAACTATGAACACCTCATGAAAAGCCAGTTCCAAGTTTCGGAGTGCCGTGATTCTTATAAAGAGCGAGGCTCTTTCCAGGACTCAAGGAGCTATCACAAAAGATAATGGTTTTTATATGGAACTTGGAACATCTAAACCAGGATAGTTCCCATAATACATCATTTGACTTGTTCCCTTGCACTTGAACTGTGGCCTAGCAGCAAAGGGCAGCAGGCAGAGAAGGGTTGCTGGGCTAAGCAAGGACTCCCTCTGGAGGGACACACCTGATGCTATTACACTTTCCCATCAGAAGCTACTACTGTCATTACTTTGTATGGTCACACTCATTTATATTTAATATTTACCCTTTCTGTTGCTCTCTGCTTTTTCCCGTTTCCATCTGGGATAGTTTTTGTTCTGCCTGAAGAAATTCCTTTAGTGATTTTTAGCTCAAGTCTGTTTCAGTTTCTGGTGGTCTAAGATCCTTAAACCTTCATTTTTGAAAATAGGTATAATTTATACAGAAATGCTCAGATCTTAAGTAAAACATTCACTTTTGACTACTACTAAATACACAACATTTCCAACACTCTACAAAGTCCTTTCAGGCTGCTTCCCAGTCAACCCTTTCCCCACAAAGCAACAAGTGATCAGAATTCTAACACCACAGGTGTTTTGCCTGTTCTAGAATTTCATATAGTTGGAACTCACACACTAGGTACTTTTTTGTGTCCAACCTCTTTTATTAGCATAGTATTTTTGAGATTCATCAATATGGATGTTGGACCTTTCTTGCTGAATCCATTAGTATAATTAGTATCGACCATGTAAATACACCATTGTTCTTCCATTCTTCTATTGATGGGCACCTCAATGTTTTTCTGGCTATTATGAATAAATCTGCTGTGAACATAAAGTATTTTGTGGACATGTATTTTCACGCCTCTTTGATAAATTCTAGCACTAAAATTCCTGGATCATATATGCTTAATAGACAACCAAACTTCTCCAAAATATCTGTACGGTTATACTCCCAACTGGCAACTCCCAACATGAGAGTTCTGGTAGCTCTGTAGCATCTCCCACATTTGCCATTATTGATCTTTTTCATTTTAGCTCTTCTAGTGCTAGGAGTGCTTCCTGCTTCAAAGTCTATTTTTTTCTGATGACAACGTTGCTCTCTTTTTTTAACTGTTTGCATGGTATATATTGTTTTCCATCTTCATATTCTTGACACTTCTGTACCTGATATTTAAAGTGTTTCTCTTATAAGCAGCATATAGTTCGATTTAAAAAATCCATTCCATAATAAATGCTTAAATTACATAATCTTTTTTACCTAACTGCTGATACGCTTGGAATCTCTACTTCCTATTTTACCATTTGCATTTTATTTTTATGCACCCTTTCTCTTGCCTGACTTTAATCAAATGTTTTACATTATTCCATTTTCCTTCTGTTCAATTACATTTTAAAACCATTGTTAGTAGTTAGCCTAGAGCTTAAAACTGTATTCTTACTTATCACAGTCCTATGCAAATTATTACTTTAGTACTTGGCTGATACCAATTAAACCTCAGAACTTTTCAACTCCATTCACTTCCCTCCCATCACCTGTTATTGTTACCGTGCACTTTAGTGACACGTAAAAGCGTGGCACTTTAGGGCCCTGCAGCTTTGACTCTGTATGGCTACTGTTCATTTACATTTGTCTTCGCGGCGTTCTTCATTCCCTCTTGCATGTCGGTATCTCTATCTGGGATGTTTTCCTGAGAACGTTCTTTGTTATTTCAGTGCAGGCCCTCTGGTGCCAGATTCTCTGAATTTTCGTTTCTCTGAACCCATCTTTATTTCACCTTAACATCTGAAGGACATGTTCGCTGGTATAAAATTCTAGGCTTGCAGTTTTTCTCTTCCAGCTTAAAAGATGTTTTTACACTGGCCTCTGGTTTCTATCATCTCTATTGAGATGCCGTCAGTCTCGTGGCTCCTCTGGAGGGACCTACGGTGTGTTAAAGATGGGCCACGCGTTCTTTGTCACTGCTAGCAGATGGAGGACGTTTCCCCGGGCTTTGATTCCGAGCAGGCGCCAGCACTCTCCGCTTGGACAGAGTGGTGCCGTGGCAGTTCTGGCTACGCACAGGCTCTTGGAGGCCTGCGTGCTTCTGCTCTCACCCTTGTGGAGCTCCGAGCCATCGTGGAGAAAGGTCCAGCTACCCTGCTGAGAGACAACCAAGGCAGGGCTTCCCAGCTATGCCCAGCTATTCCACCCTCTCCACCGGAGGTTCAGACACGTGAGTGAAACCTTCTTCGGTGGCCAGTCCCAGATGAGTCTCTACACGTCTTCAGTGGCATGAATGACTCCAAGGGAGACCAGAAGAATGTCCAGCTGAGTCTGGCTCAGACTGCACAGTCTTGAGCAAATCACAGTTTTGTTTGAAGCCAGTAAATTCTGGAGTGGCTTCTGAGGCAGAAATGGAGAACTGAAATAGTGTTTGGTGTCCAGAATAGAGTGCGGCCATACCAGACACTTAGAACCTGTGGTGTTAGTTCTAGGACTGGGTCGACTACAACTGCTGAGCAGCAGTGAGACTCTTCATGGAGGCTGGATGAGCACGGAGGAAATCAGGATGGGAGGCTGGAGAAGGGGAGGACTTATCTATTGGTAAAACAGTGAGGCTGTATCTTAGAATACAGCAAAAATACCTAACTAAATTGTAGATCTGGCTAGGAAGACTTCCAAGAGGAATGCTGAAAGTGAAAAGGGTTTTTGAAAAGCTATTAAAAGAGAGAGCACTTTAGAAACTATAGTTTTCGGGCAGGGTTTAGAAAAACTGCTTTCAAGTTGGGACTTGCAGGGTTAGAAAATGAAACTTTTTCAATCGTCAGCTTCTCCAATCAGCATGAGGTTTTAAAGTAAAAAAAAAAAAAATTCCAGAAAGTTACCAGTAAAACTATGGCCTTGGGGTCAAGCTCAAATCAGAAACACGGCAGTAGGACCTTTTGTTACTCCTGCCTCGGAAGGATATAGATGTAAGCCTCATTAGGCTCTCACAGACAAAAAGTGCCTAAAAATCTTAAGGGTATTTACACCCTGGACTCACATTCAAGGTAGACAGGGACCTTCTTGAAGAGATTTGAGATATGGGTTCTGTCTGCAGTGACTTATCATTTGAAAGTCTACAAAGTCTTTTTTTTTTTTTTTCAAGATTTTATTTATTTATTTGACAGAGAGAGAGAGATCACAAGCAGGCAGAAAGGCAGGTAGAGACAGAGGGGGAAGCAGGCTACCCCCTAAGCACAGAGCCCGATGCGGGACCCGATCCCAGGACCCTGAGATCATGACCTGAGCTGAAGTCAGAGGCCCAACCCACTGAGCCACCCAGGCGCCCTCTACAAAGTCTTTTAAAGGGGTTGTGCCAGTTTGGACTAAAAGGGAGAGAAAGGTGGGAAGCAAGACGAGTGAGCTTTTCAACTTTAAACACAGGCCTTTCTTACAGAAAAGGAAAGACCACTCAGAGAGAAGGGTCAAGAGTGGAGAAACAAATTAGGGAACCAAGCCCAGGAAACCAAAATGGACCATAATCAAGGAACATTCCTTGTAAAGCAAGTCATCAGGGGAAGTGGTGACATACGGGCCAGATGGGGTTCAGAATCGACACAGAATGGAGATTGCTATGTCTTTCCCATTTCCTGTGTTTAAAACTACCATGACTTCCCTATTCCTGCCACACTGTCATGTCGTGCCGAAGCCCAGTAGATTCTCATTAGGTTATAGTACTGCTTTAACATTATATATTAATAAAGTGGAGAGATACTTAACCATAAAGTAATTAATTTTAGTTTTACAAAACCCCCTCTTTACATAAAGATCACACAGAAACAGATGAACAGTCTTAGAAACTCTGTGATATGTTCTCTAGGCTTCTAGAGAACAAAAACGCAGTTTTGCAGATATTTTGTTTCATTATTTTAAGAGAAGAAGGTATTTAAAGTTGTGTTTCCCATCCACAACCTGAAATACCAACTACTCTTCACCACCAGAAGAACACCCGACTTACATCATATACTGAGATTCCCTGGTTGCCAGGAGCCCCACCTCCACGCTGGAGTAAAGAAGACAAAACTGAGGGGCGGGGCACAAATAAAGGCCACAGGCTCCAATGTGTGTGGTGTTAAAAAAAAAAAAAAAAAAAAAAAAAGACAAAACTGACAAGGTAGGTTCTACCATAGAAGGTACACAGAGCAGCCAAAAAGAGTACTAACTGAGTGATGGAAAAAGCAATGGAAAAGTGATGGAAACTCAGTGGTGGGTTATTTCACATCTTCCCTTTAGCTACTAAGCGCTGCGTAACTCACATAGAGGTTAGAGCCACTTAGTGGCAAATAATCTGGGAAAGTCAGAAGGTGGACAGATGGTAGTTTCCAGCTTTCCTACAGGGTGACTCACCTTTTCCAAAACTTTGGCAATTCGTGTGCCGATTTGTTCGAGTGACTGCTGTGGATACTGGTCTTTGCCAAGATTTTGCAGTACCTGGTGTAGGGAAAGACGGCAGGTGAGAGCAAGGAAAGGAGCAGGATCTAGGTGACGCTGCTGACGCTGAGCTGGATACTAGGGCCCAAAAGCCAGCAGCTGCTCTGGGGTATGTGCTGTGGTCCTGCTGGTCGGGCACTTTGGGGAAGACGTATGGAAACCTAGCATCCCTTGCATACCCTCCCACTTGACAAAAACTACAGACACGTAAAACATATTCATTACAGCAACATTAGAAAAGAGAGTAAATAAAGAAAATTAAAACTATCTGTATTCCTGTCACCCAGATGCAACCAGTGTTAGTATCTTTACACTACGGATATTTCAGGGATTTTTCTGAAATAGCATGTGTACACACATACTGCCTCTCTCACAGAATATGGGATCACACTACATATTGTCACCTATATTTTCACATAACATGAAGATTTCTTCATGCCAATAAATGTATTTCTACATCTTTCTTTTTTTTTTTTTTTAATAAAGATTTTATTTATTCATTTGACAGAGAGAGATCACAAGTAGGCAGAGAGTCAGGCAGAGAGAGAGAGGGAGGCAGGCTCCCTGCTGAGCAGAGAGCCTGATGCGGGGCTCGATCCCAGGACTCTGAGATCATGACCTGAGCCGAAGGCAGCGGCTTAACCCACTGAGTCACCCAGGCGCCCTCTACTACATCTTTCTTGAGGGCTCCATTGTATACTATCCTCTATCTGTACAACATTTATTTAACAAATCCTCTATTCTTGGACATTTGTGGTGGTTTCTCAATTGTCCTTCTCGGTACCTGTTTGCTAGGCATATGCTGGGTCTGCTCGCCTTCCTTGCCTTCTTAAGAATGCCAACAGGAGGGACGCCTGGGTGGCTCAGTTGGTTGAACGACTGCCTTCGGCTCAGGTCATGATCCTGGAGTCCGGGGATCGAGTCCCGCATCGGGCTCCCGGCTCCGCGGGGAGTCTGCTTCTCTCTCTGACCTTCTACTCGCTCATGCTCTCTCTCACTGTCTCTCTCTCAAATAAATAAATAAAATCTTAAAAAAAAAAAAAAAAAAAGGAATGCCAACAGGAGAATAAGCTGCCTCAAGTAATCCTGACAAGAGCCTCTGTCCGCTGGCAAGCAGAGTGCTACCTACCTTGAGGAGTGAATCAGAATTCAAATTTCCTGGCCCTTAAAAGAAAAGCATAAACTCAATCCCAGGGCCTGAAATAAATCAGGCCTGGCCTAAAGCCACCTAGATTTAGGCCCTCTGAAATGTGGCCCGGCCCCCGGGCTTCCTGCTGTCAGCTGCGGCACCACTGCGGCGCTAGCAAGTACAGCCGCGCTGAAGACGGCTGGGCACTCACCTCTGTCAGCTGACTCTCGCCCGTGTAGTGCAGGCTGGCCCGGTTGGAGACCCCGTGCAGGTGGTCCAGGGTGTGCATGCTCGTGGGCAGATTGCCGTTGCAAAGCGGCTCCATCGCCGGCTGCTGTATTGGAGTGGCAAAGTCGATGTGTTCTGTGATGCTGGAAAATGGAGATTGCCATGTTAGCCATGGGAAACCCGAGTGGGTGGGGAGCAAGAGTATCAATAATCGGCTGATCGTAACTTTGCGATGTTACCAGGACTGTCTGGAACCACGACTCACAGACTGAAGAGACAGCAGAGGTGATCGAGTCTGCTCTCTCGTTTTATAGGTGCAAGAATCCAGTGCCTGGCCATAACTGTTTGCTGAACGTATGAGCAGAGATCGTAGCCCTGGTCAAAGGAGCAGCGCTGGAATCAGAGTCCTGAACTCAGTGATTTCCCGGTCCACTCAAGCTGCCTCCTTTCTATGCACCATGGGGTCTGGTGTGGTCACTGCCATTGGCCATTTTTTCTCACTGGGGAAGTTTTGAACCTGGCAGGCTTTAGTCTAGGGTTTCTGTTTTTAGGGTAAAATTCCCTTTTCAGTGATAAATACCCGCAAGTGGTTCCTATCTTTTATTTTCCCTTTATGCACAGAAGCCCACCCCACAGAAAAAATGACCCAAAGTTTAGACAGTACATTTTAAACAGATGCAGCTGTTCAATGTATCCATGCATAAGACGTAACTCCCTTTTGTAGACCCAAAGTGGTCATTTTCCTGCTATCTGCAGGCTAAATGTTATACACTCTCATATATGCTGAAATGGCAAACTGGCATGGCCAAATTTTATTTTTAGCTATTTAAAGCTAATATGTATTAGGCAGGGCACCTGGGTGGCTCAGTGGGTTAAGCCGCTGCCTTCGGCTCAGGTCATGATCTCAGGGTCCTGGGATCGAGTCCCGCATCGGGCTCTCTGCTCAGCAGGGAGCCTGCTTCCCTCTCTCTCTCTCTCTCTCTGCCTGCCTCTCCGTCTACTTGTGATCTCTCTCTGTCAAATAAATAAATAAAATCTTAAAAAAAAATTAATATGTATTAGGCAAACATTCATTCATTATTTATTTAGAGCCTACTACGTGTCACACACCAGAGGTACAATAATTAACAAGACATCGCCAATCCCTGCTGTTATGGTGCTCGTGGTCTTGTGAGTGGCTCGGTTATTACAGATGTTATAAAAGACAAAAACAAGGTACAGTGTCAGTACACTACGGGGAGGTATGTATTTCCCCCTCTGCTGATGGAGGAAGGAGGTGACTAGTGAAGGATTCCCTAAGGAACCAAGATTTAAGTCAAGACCAGGGTGTGAATAAACCAGGTGGGAAGAAGGTGGTGAGAACATCACCCCACGCAAAGGAACACCAGTGTGAAGGGCCCGACAGGAGGGAGGGTGGCGAGGATGGAAAGACACATGGCAGCAGATTACAAAGGGCTTTGTGGACCATGGTAAAGAGCAGTAAGAAGTTATTAGAGCATTTTAAGAATTATTTGACTTGTATTTGAGGAAGGAGTCTGAGTATTGTAGGGATAAGGGGCAGAATAGAGTCAAGAGTGAATAAAGCATGCGGCCCGGCTAGGCGCCTACTGAGTGGAGTGAAGTGGAGATGATGGCGATCCGGTTTAAGGGTCAGAAATGGAGATGGAGAAAAGCTGACGGCTTAGAAAAACACTCAGAGGGTGGAAATAGTAAGAATGGGTAATAGAGGGGCGCCTGGGCAGCTCAGTGGGTTAAGCCTCTGCTTTCAGCTCAGGTCATGATCCCAGGGTCCTGGGATCGAGCCCCGCATTGGGCTCTCTGCTCTGCAGGGAGCCTGCCTCCACCTCTCTCTCTGCCTGCCTCTCTGCCTACTTGTGATCTCTGTCTGTCAAATAAATAAATAAAAATCTTTAAAAAAAAAAAAAAATGGGTAATAGACCGGATCTGAGGGTGAAGGGAAAGGGGTCATTAAGGACGACTCCCAGGTTTCTGGCCTAAGGACTGCTGGAGCGATCTACTAAGAATAAGAAACAGAAAACACACAGAACAATGATTTTTTGGAAGGTGAGTGGACAAGGAAACAATGAGTTTGGTTTTCCTGAGGTTGAGGGGTCTCAGAGATATCTAGGCAGAGAGGCCAAGTCGGTAATTGGACAGATGATTTGAAGAAAAATCTGGTACGGAGATCCAAATTCAAGAGCTGTCAATATATTGGTGGTGACAGAAGTTCTGGGAGTACATCAGTCTGACTCGGAGTGATTCTAAGGTAAGAAGGCTTAGAGGTAAATCTTGGGAAACACCAACATTTAAAGGGCAGAGAAGGAGCCAGCAAGAGAGAATGAGTATCCAAGGAGGAAAACGCAGTTACCGGAGGGGCAACTTGGCTCAGCCTGAGTCTTGGTAGGTGTTTGTAAATCTAGATGTGCTCTGGCTCCCTTTTTAAGTACACAATGTCAGAATCACAGGTTTTTCCATAAAGAGGGATCCAGTCTTTAACTCAAACTAAGTAAGTTCCATACTTTCGCAGACCTTACAAAGTGTGGGGGAAGGCCCTGAGAAGGGAGGGCACGTTCACTGCTTCAGTACAATGGACTGCGTCTACCTGTGGCCTGTGGTCAGCGATGGTCATCCTCAGAACCTCTAAGCCTAAAAAGGACGACTCCTCTAACAGCCGCTGACAAAGGGCATCCCTGAAGTCAACAGAGGCCCAACAGGTTCGCTGGTACATAAATGCCACAAAGGAGTGAGGGGTTTAAGATACTCACTCAATGTTTTTTGAAGAAACTGCAAGCCAGGTACTCACGATGGCAGTCAGCTCTACCCAGCGGAGTTTGAGGCACTCGTCTGGGCTGGGCCATCCCAGACTCTGGTAGTCACGCTTTTTTCCTAGAAGGAAAGTATGACATCAATGCACACGACTGCAAAGGAACAGAACCTGCAGTGTCTTACTTAACCCAGGCTGGTGTGTTTGGAGGTGCCAGTCATTCTTCTAGTCTTTAGGATTTTTACCATTTAGAGAATTAGAATCTTGTCATTCACAGCAAAGGAAATAAGATTATCTGAGTGAAGTCTCGGGCTCAAAGACAGATGATGAAGTAAAAATAAATGAGTCCACTGGATTTAAGACTGATCAACGGAAGATAAGAGCTAAGATATTCTTCGATGTTAACATCTTACCAAGTTTCATTTTTACCCCTCTATATCTTGATTTTATAAAGACAGCTCCAACTTAGGAGGAGCATGTACGGCTAAAGCATGGTTTCCCATTCTCGCAGGACTGACTGTGGCTGGGGGGTGCTTTGTGTGGGGCTGTCCTGTGTACTGGAGGATGTCTAGGAGCATCCCTGGCTTCTACCCTATAGAACCAGTAGCACCCCCCATTCCCCCCCGCCACACACACACAGATGGGACAACCAAAATGTGCCCTGGGAAGACAAAATCACTCCTGGTAGAGAACCACTGTTGCAGAGAAAAGCAGCAGATGGGGAATAACGGTGATAATGATAGGGTATCATTTATTTCCAGAGCACTTACTGTGTGCTCAGGTCCTGTGCTAAGTGCCTTATATCCACAGCTTATTTCTTAGGTGGGAAAATGGAGGCACAGAGAGATCAGGTGACTTGCCCAAGGTTACCTGGCTAATGGACGGCGGAGCTAGGATCCAGATCCAGGTTGGTCTGAGTCCAACATGTAGGCTTCCAATCAGCATGCTATTTAAAGCTATACTGGGCTTTTAAAGTTCTGTTAATTGACACCCTTCACAGGTACTACCTTTTGTGTACAGGCCCTTGACTTAGATTGAGTCCCCAACTAAGTCTTGTCTGGGATGGGGGACTTCTGGAAGACTTACAATAGAATGAATGGACAGGAAGGAGATCTTTGGTTCTGTGTAACTTTTTCTTATAATGTGGGAATTTGCCAATAACAGAAAACTGAGGTATAAGCAGGGCTTTAGATTTAAGTAAAATGGAAGAGTTTGGAAGAGTTTCAAATGAGCCCTGTTTAAATGAATAACTAAAAGAATTAAACCGTAAGTTTCACAATAAAGCTTATTTTTCTGTTATGTTTAAGAAATTCACTTGAAAAGCATTTATTGAGCATCTTTCATAAAGAAATGGGAACTGTGTTGAGGCACTAGGAATAGTCAGGGGAATAAAACAGAAGGGGCCTGCCCCTGAGTTCACAGTCTAGTGAGGAAGGTAAACATGAACAAATCCTAGGATACGGAAGGATGACTGCTAGAGTGAAAGTACAGGACAATGGCACGGAGGTGAGAGCAACTAATTCTGCCTGAAGGTACCAAGGAAGGGAAGGCACGTGGCATCTGAAGTTTAAGGATGAGTGATATTTTAGCACTGCTGATGTGGCAGGAGGGCAGGCCAGGCAGAGGGGGCAGCATATGCAAAGGTAAGGGGGTAAAATAAGAGCATGGTTGGTTCAGAAAAATAACAGTATGAAGGACAGACAGTCTGGATGCTTGTACACCACACGAGGAGGTTTGGACTTCATTCTATAGGCAGTGGGGAGCCTCTTAGCCCACATTTCCCCATCTTGTTCACTGGAATATCCTAACAGACTCTATTTATTTATTTACTTATTTTTTTAAGATTTTATTTATTTGACAGAAAGACAGCAAGAGAGGGAACACAAACAGGGGGAATGGCAGAGGCAGAGGGAGAAGCGGGCTTCCCACTGAGCAGGGAGCCTGTGTGGGGCTCAATCCCAGGACCCTGGGACCATGACCTGACCTGAGCCAAAGGTAGACACTTAATGACTGAGCCACCCAGGCGCCCCCTAAAAGACTTTGTTAAATGCTTTGCTGAAATCTAGTTACATTGTATTTACAGCATTTCCCTGGTCTTCCAGTCTGGTAGCTCTCTTCAAAAAAGGAAGTGAAATTAGTTATGCATTATTAGTTTTACTAGTTCTTAGTAAATTTACAGTGTCCCTCATTGATCTCCACTCTTCCCCACGGCCTCACAAACTATCTTTTTTAGGATTTGCTTTAAAACTTTGTCAGAATTTATCATGAACCTTATCTCCTAGTAGTGAAGAGAATGCAGATTTATTTGAAAACCCAGGATACTGTACCTCTCTGGCTACCTGTCATCTCTTCCAAGCCTTAGAACTTTTCATGTTACTGAGAGTAAGCAGGTTCCCTGATGTCATTGGCCAAGTACACTCAATGCCCTATGTGGGCCCACCCACTTGAATATATTTAAAACCACTTAAGTGCTTTCCTGTCATCTCAACCACACCAAGCTTTAATTTTCACTTTTACAAGAAATTTTTAGTTTTTTGTTTGTAAAAACAATATAGGCTTATTATAAAATATTTAGAAAATGGAAAAGCATGTAAAAGAAAATTAAAAATTACCCATATCTCTATCAGTACCCAGAAATGACCGCTTACATTTTGGTATATTCTCTTCTATACTTGTTTCTACGTACTTGTTTATTTTAGCTTCTTTTATCAAATCTAAGAGGTCCTAAACATTATTTTATATGGTATAAGAAAGAAAAAGACAGCCAATTGTTATTTAAAATATCATCAGCTGTAAGATACACCTCAGCTGCAGATACAGAAATATGAACAAGTGTAGTCATAATCCAGTATATCTACTACCTTACAAACACTGAAGGGTTCTATCTGCTATTTTATAAACCACTTTGGTTCACTTACTAGACTACAAGCATCTTGGCTGCACAGTACATGGCATGGATGTTCTGTAATTTATTTGGGCAATTACCAGCATTTAGGTGGTTTATAATTTTTTATTATGATAAGCGGCCCCATGATCAATCTTGCCACTTCTGTCTGGCATCTATAAAATGATTTACTTAGGGTAAAGTATTGGAAGTAAAATTATTGGTATATTTTTAAATTGTCTGATCTATATGGTCAAATGATCCCCAAATTGATCTCATTAACTCTGTGTATTGCACATTTAAAGACAGTTTGAGGAGCAAAGAAGGCATGTCGCTGTTTGTGTTTATGTCTCTTTGATTGCTAGTGAGGCTGAACATTTCATCACATGTTCAGTGGCCAACTGTATGTGTGTTATTTGGGGGACTGTCTCTGTACTTGGACACAACTCACTGAAATGCTGTGTTTTCATACTGATTTGTAGGTGTTATTTTATTTTTTTTAAAGATTTTATCTGTTTATATGAGAGAGAGAAAGAGAGAAGAGCACACAAGCAGGGAGGGGCAGCGGGAGTGGGAGAAGCAGACTCCTCACTGATCAGGGAGCCTAAGGGGGGGCTCGATCCCAGGACCCTGAGATCATGACTTGAGCCGACGTCAGGTGCTCAACTGACTTAAGCCAGCCAGGTTGCCCTGTAGCCCTTGTAGGTGTTCTTTAAATGATACTGCTATTTTGTGCTTGTCACCGAGTCTGTAAAAATATAAATATTCTGCAAAAATACTTTGTTTCAGTGCTCTGCCTATTTTATGGTGTCTTCTGATGCCATAATTATTTTTTTTTCTTTTTCTCTCTGCCTTAGAAAGTCCTTTTCCATTGGAAAACTATATAAATATTCATCTAAATTTTCTACTTTTATGATTTTATTACATTTACTATTTAATGGAATTTTCATTTCCATAATGATGTTTTACATTTTGAACACCCTTTCCCTTGCTATAGAAGATAGACCGAGTAAAGGAAGTGCTGCTTTCTTTCTGTTAACACACGATGTCACCCTTAAATAGTACAGCTACTACATGCTGTCAACTCTGGTCATGACAAAATGTCCTTTTTGGTGTCCTTTGTATTTTTCCCAAGTAACAGTTCACTCTGGGATTTAGCGAAACTGACCCCATTCTTCATATTTTATTATGTTCCTCCTGCTTTCAGCTTTAAGTATACCAAATTAAATAAGACATCTTTTCATGAAGTTAATTTTTGAAGTCTAGGATAGTGAAAATATCCTTTCTTTCTTTTTTTTAAAGATTATTTATTTATTGATTTGACAGATAGATCACAAGTAGGCAGAGAGGCAGGCAGAGAGAGAGGAAGGGAAGCAGGCTCCCTGCTGAGCAGAGAGCCCGATGCGGGGCTCGATCCCAGGACTCTGAGATCATGACCTGAGCTGAAGGCAGTGGCTTTAACCCACTGAGCCACCCAGGTGCCCCTGAAAATATCCTTAAAAAAAAAAAAAAAAAAAGATTCTTTATAAAAGAAATTTGATCACCACTATTTCATTGCTAGAAAAGAAAGTCAACTGGGCCCATGGCAATGGCCCTGAACCTGGAGTCCCAAGAAGCACTTCAGGACAACTATGAACACTAAAAGTACATGACAAATTCTGATGTGTATGCATTTTTCCTGGGCACAGTTCTAAAGCATATATCCAATACTTAAAGAGATATCCGACACATGAAATATTAAGTGTTAATATTTATTGAGTCCTATGTGGCCAGTTCCTTTAAAGTACTTCACATGTATAATTCTTAGAGTTCTCACAACCATCCTATAAGACACATGTGATCCTATTAAACTAGACTATCGAGAATTAATAGGACTTCAAGCTCACGATGATAAAAATATAAGCCCGACAGGCAATGGTAAAGAAGTCAAGTAATATCAAAACAAACTTTTTATACCAGCGACTGTTTCCTCATTCACTAAACCCCATTACCCTCTCATCTGATCTCCTTCAAGTCACAAACTCATCCTTAGTAAGAAATGAGACAGTGCAATCTGAAAAAAGGAGACCGGCATATTAAACATTCAAATTTACCTTGTGGCCCAGGAGATGCCACCTTTGGGCCAGTGATCTCCAAGTTTGCTTGGTAACGATGTACATTTTCTGCTTGATTCTGTTCTACCTTTTTCCCAGGAGTTTTCTTATGATCTCCTTTGGGTTTCTTTACACGTTTGACCTGGAATGTGATCTGGAAAATGGAAATATGTTAGGGACAAATTAGACCAATTATCAAATCTGTAAAGGCTGTGGATATTGGTGGTTTTAAGAGTAACCGGTCCTAATTCTACAAAGAAAACATCCAAATGGCCAAGAGACAAATGAAAAAGTGCTCAACATCACTCAGCATCACGAAAATACAAATCAAAACCACAGTGAGATACCACCTCACACTAGGCAGAATGACTAAAATTAACAAGTCAGGAAATGACAGGTGTTGGCGAGGATGTGGAGAAGGGGGAACCCTCCTACACTGTTGGTGGGAATGCACACTGGTGCAGCCACTCTAGAAAACAGAATGGAGTTTCCTCAAAAAGTTGAAAATAGAACTACCCTCCGACCCAGCAAACTACTGGGTATTTACCCTAAAGATACAAATGTAGTGATCCGAAGGGGAATGTGCACCCCAATGTTTATAGCAGCAATGTCCACCACAGCCAAATTACGGAAAGAGCCTAGATGTCTATCAACAGAGGAATGAATAAAGAAGATGTGGTATACAGATATACACAATGGAATACTATGCAGCCATCAAAAAACCCGGAATCTTGCCATTTGCAATGACATGGATGGAACTAGAGGTTACTATGCTAAGCAAAAGAAGTCGGGGCACCAGGGTGGCTCAGTGGGTTGAGCCTCTGTCTTCAGCCCGGGTCATGATCTCAGGGTCCTGGGATCGAGCCCCGCATCAGGCTCTCTGCTCGGTGGGGGGCCTGCTTCCCCCCACCCTCCCCACCTCCTGCTCTGCCTACTTGTGATCTGTCAAATAAATAAATAAAATTAAAAAAAAAAAAAAAGAAGTCCACCAGAGAGGGATAATTATCATATGATCTCACTGATTTGAGGAATTTGAGAAATAAGACAGAGGATAATAGGGGAAGGGAGGGAAAAAGGAAACCAGGGAGGGAGACAAACCTTAAGAGACTCTTGGTCTCCAGAGAGAAACTGAGGGTTGCTGGAGAAGAGAAGTGGTGGGAGGGATGGGGTGGCAGGGTTATGGACACTGGGAAGGGTACGTGCTATGGTGAGTGCTGTGAGTTGTGTAAGACTGATGATTCACAGACCTGTACCCCGAAACAACAACAAAAAGGTAACCAGTGCTAGGGGCGCCTGGGTGGCTCAGCTGGTTAAGTGTCTGACAGAATCTCAGGGCTGTGAGATTGAGTCCTGCACTGGGCTTCACACTGAGCAAAGAACCTGCTTAAGATTCCCTCCCTCCCTCTGTCCCTCTCCACCTCCTCCCCACCCCACCCCCGACTTGAGCTCTCTTTTTCTAAAAACAAAAGAGTAACCAGTCCTATTCTAGAGTTCTGTTTCATTCTTACAGGTCTAAATGAAAAACGTTTAGTAAAATGAACAAATAGTCTAGCCCTGAAGGGTGTATAGAGGAAACTGAAAATGAAGATGTCTGAGTTGGGCAGCTGCAGGCATGCAGGCTGGACAGCCTCCCCCTTCGTCTGCCTCCTGGAAGAGCTAGCGATACAGACGGAAGTAAAGGGAAATGTTCCTCAGTACAAGGCCCATTCGAGGGCTGACTGGAAGGTGGAGTAAAGTGGTGCCACACCCCTAAGAGAGATGTCACACTCTGCGAACTTGGAAGCCCCCACCCCCACCAAGACCTGGGCTATGGTTTGGTGTGAACGGACTTGGCAAACTCTCACCCATTCTGTGGCTTCATCATCTTCACTTCTGCAGTCTCCGTAGCAAGAGCTTCTGGCCACTCCATCCTGGGGACCCTTCTTCAGCACTCGTATCCCCTGCAAGTCCAGACGCCGCCCTTTCATCTCCAGGGCTCCCCCAAAGCCTTCCAGGGGCCATGCCTGTTGAAATTCATCCACCAAAGCCAGTATCTCTTCAGACATTTTTGTTTCATCTGAATTCTCCATCTCATCGGAACCATTGCTCTCCTCAACCACTGTACCTGAAATTTGAGCGCCCGCATATCATTAAAGATTTCGTAGTACTCACTCCAGTACTTGAATGACTCCGATCTTGCTGTCTGAGCAGCTTTGGCTCTGCTTGGAGCAAATTTGATAACCACCCATAAAAATGCCACTCATCATCCTCAAAATGCACAATAAAACGTCCTCTTTGCTGTGTAGCTGTGTCAAAAACTTGGATAAGGACAACAGTAGCAGCAAGGTGGCAGGCAGGCACTGATTACTGTATCACTAGTGAGCAGGGGGATGGCTATTTTATAGACGTATTACTGAAAAAAAAAAAGACACACTTGCTTTAAATATAAGACACGGATGGCAAAGGTGAAATTTATTATGATGTTATTTATTAAATATGTGAGATCCTTGAAGTTTTATTCAAATAGCAAATGAAATATCATGGCTGCATGTCCAGGCCATATAGTCTAACTGCCTTACCTGAACAACGACTTGTTTAATGGATAATTATCCTAATTCTACATTCAGGCTCTTATTTTCACTAATGGCCAGTGTAAAAGAAATAGTGATGGAGTAGTGTAATATTTTCCTAAAATGGTTATCAAGACATTATTTGTTATGTTGCTCAAGTTTCTTATGTAAAGACTTCCATGGATGTTTCCCAGTACAATGGCCTAGAAAAATTCTTTCTCTTGAGAAGTCAGTGTTTCTACTGTTATACATTAAAGGTTATATAACCTTACACGTTCCCTTCTATGCCTACATGACTAGAACATTTAGGGCAAAAATTTGTCTGAGTTTCTTAATAGAATGCTTTCCTTCCTTAAAAAGAAAAAAAACTTTATTACTTAACTTTTGCTATTTTGAATTAACGGCTGAATCTTATAGTGTGTGTTCATGAAAGTCATCACCAATACTTTCCAGATGTAGATAGGGTACAAAAACAAATACAATGGAATACCTCCTTTTGTACTATATCTACTGGACAACCTGAGAGCTCGGGGTTGATTGCTCAGAAAATGCCAGTCTACCTTATCCTAGTTAAGTCATCCCAATAACCTTCAGTTGGTAATTCTGGTTTGTTCAGTGATTTAAAACATGGTACTAATAAGGCCGAGGTCAGGAATCTCACTTCCATATTGACCAGACCCATAACCATAGTGAGTATGAACTCACTTTAGAAATGCACAGTATTAGTCTCTGGGGAGGCATGGGTGAGAAAAGTGGCTGACCACCAAGGCTAAAGGCAACATAAAGCTTTGATCCCCACACCCAGAGTATCTCTCTCGGCTCTGGTAGCATCTCTATCTTCCATCCCACTTTCTATTCCAGAAAGTGGGAAGGTCTGTTGTCAGGCTGGGAGTACCGTTAGAAATCTGTTATTCTTTCTTAAAATAATTATAAGGCTCCTTCACTTGATAACAAGTGACTTTGAAATGTACTGTGGTCCTTTCAAGTAAATTTCTTTTAGGTTTTTTGAACCAGTCTGCTGGGGTTTTTTTTGCTTATTATTATCATTATCACTAATGAAGTTCCGAGATAAGCATAAAGTAAAATGGGGGTTTACAAGGGCATTTTCTTTAGAATATTCAGATAACGATGGTTATTGCCTAAATTATGTGGCAAACAGTATATCTAATTTTCAATTTCTATCTTGTTTACTACTATATCCTGAATGTCTAACATTGTATGTGACACGTAAGAGGCTCGGTTGTAGAATGAGTTAATGGAACTGGGGAATATTTTGGTTTGTGAGGTTCTTGAGGATCTGCTGCTCCAGCCGTTGCCTTGCCCTGCTGGTGATTCAAGACTTTATAAACTCTAAGGTTGTCACATGTTAAAAGCAAGCATCATGTCCTTAACATAATGTCTGGCATACTATATGACTTACTAATTTTTCAGTAGCTAACTCAAGGAAAATACCTGGACAGTGTTGCTATGGAGGACCGCAACACAGTTCTAAGTTTTTTTTTTTTTTTAAAGATTTTATATATTTGACACAGAGAGAGAGGTCACAAGCAGGCAGAGAGACAGGCCAAGGGGGAGGGGGAAGCAGGCTCCCCGCTGAGCAGAGAGCCCAATGCAGGGCTCTATCCCAGGACCCTGAGATCATGACCTGAGCCGAAGGCAGAGGCTTAACCCACTGAGCCACCCAGGTGCCCCAGAGTTCTAAGTATTTTTCATGTTATTTTAGCTTCCTGTCCTTCCTTCTCCTATGGGCACCATGGGATTTCCTGCACCTAGTCCTGAGACAGGAAAGGGGTTTTGATATATTTGTGGCAGCCAAGAGTATGGGCTTAAAGAAAAGTGGCTTTTGGCCAAAGGTAGACTGCAGGTAACTAATTCCCCAGGGTATAGTTAGAGCCGCATGCATATGGATGTGGTGTTTGGAAACCTTATTTCCATTCAGTAACTACAACTATTCTAAATAAATAAAGCTGTTCAGTTGCAAAGAGTTCTGCAAGCCCAGTTCCAAAGGTTAATGCTCCCCTATGCCCAGACCATATGGAAATATATATATGATTACTGAAAAGTTCTGAGAGAAAGGGCCTTTCATTGACAGAAAGTGGTATTCCAGTCAAGAGAGACTATGGAACTTGCTGCAGGCTTTTGCTGCTGGCAACCACTAGTCCTTTCAAAGACTGTAGGGGTGGGGGTAGAAGCAATTCCTAAAGAACAACACTAAATAAAGGTGAAGAATGGGGAGATCATTAATGTGCTATGAGTTAGAAACAATAAACCAATCTTTATTTATTTAGAACCTACTATGTGCCTATTTCATGCTATGAGCCATATAGGTGGGAACAAAAAGAATCTGAGGAATTACAGTTGAACAGCATGGGGGTTAGGGGCACTGACCCCCACACAGTTGAAAATCCACATAGAGCTTTTGTTTCTCCAAAAACTTAGCTACTAATAGCCTCTGGCTGACTGGAAGCCTTACCGATAACATAAACAGTCGATTAACATGTATTTTGTATGTTATAGGTATTATATACTGTACGCTTAGAATAAAGGAAGCTAAAATGCATTGTTAAGAACATAATAAGAGAAGATAAAGTACTATATGATATTTATCAAAAAAATCTGCACATAGGTGGATGTATGCAGTTCAAACCTGTATTGTTCAAGGTTCGACTATATAGTCAGGTTGGAGACACTAAACTATATACATAAAATAATCAGAGCATAATTACATTTAGATACTTTTTTTCCCTAGAGGAAAAGCATAATTGAATGTGGTCATAACATGCTTCCTAGAGGAAGGCAGACTCCTGAGGCAGGGTTTGGACAGGCAGAGGGCCAGGGAGGGCCGAAAGGGAGGAGCTTGAAAGTATATACTCTCACAGCCACATGTATACACACTGATGTAGACATAGGGAAGGCAGTATGTGAAGGCACTGCTCATTTCACGTGAACTAGAACAAAGAATGCATACAGATGATATCAGCAAATAAGATACTTAGGGAAGGTGGGTGACAATGAGGATGTCTGGGAAAGTTGGGAGCAAGATTCATTGTCAAGGGAGCCTTCTGTTTCCTAAACAGAAGAATAACAAGACGAGAGCCATAATGTGGCCTGTGCAGGCCAGAGTGGTAAACCAGCTGGCATACTGAGAGGTGGAGAAGGAAGACGGAGGACAGAGACCAGTTAGAAAGGTATTTCAGCAGTCTCTCTACAGTTCTTTTTTTTTTTTAAAGATTTTATTTATTTTTTTGTCAGAGAGAGAGAGAGAGAGCGAGCGAGCATAGGCAGACAGAATGGCAGGCAGAGGCAGAGGGAGAAGCAGGCTCCCCACAGAACAAGGAGCCCAATGCGGGACTCGATCCCAGGACGCTGGGATCATGACCTGAGCTGAAGGCAGCTGCTTAACCAACTGAGCCACCCAGGCGTCCCTCTACAGTTCTTTAAAGAGAAGCTGGCCTAGGGTGAAGATTGCAAAAGGGGAATTCTGAAAAGGGAGGAGAAAAAGGCACGTGAAGAAATTTCAGTGGACAAAAATAAAGTTTGGTGGTTAAATGGATAAAATGACAAAGAATAGGGTAAGTTCAAAGATAATTTCAAGATTTCAAAGCCTAATGTGAAACAGGGAATATATGAAGTTTTAGAATCTGTGAAAGTGAAAACAATGCTATGTACAAGGATTATGGAATTAGGAGAGGGCAATAGGACTTATCATGTTGGGATTTCAGACACTTACTCATTAATTTATTTAAGCATTTGTTGCCCATGCCCAAAAATGTGCTGAGGGCTCTCATAATAGAACCACGCATGGAGCTTACGGTCTAGGTTAGGATGGAGAGAAGAACATATCTCCAGGCACTTTCTAATTCTGGAAATACAGAATTCAGATTTGGAGAGGTCTGGATCACAGAAGGTTTTAAATTACACTTGAAGCAAGAAGAAAAAGTAAAATATTAGGATTGCTACTTGTGGGACCAATGGTATAACATAAACTAAAAATAGATAAACTAAGATCCGTATCTCTATTATTTTAACTTCTTTAACATGTACCATTTTCACACTGGAAAAAGGAAAATAAATATTATGAAGTGAAGAGACTGTGAGCACCCACAGTAAGCTTAGATGAGTTCATGTTTTTTCACTTGGATGAATCCTATCTCAGGTACTAGGAAAACTTATAGATGAGTTTGAGCCATGTCAGGTAGTCTGTCAAGAATCACAGGGACTAGGGGCGCCTGGGTGGCTCAGTCGGTTAAGAGTCTACCTTCAACTCAGGTCATGATTTCAAGGTCCTGGGATCAAGGACCCTGCCCAGCCGGGAGCCTGCTTCTCCTTCTCCCTCTGCCCCTCCCCCTGCTTGTGCTTGCGCACGCACGGTCTCTCTCAAATAAATAAATAAATAAATAAATAAAATCTTTAAAAAAAAAAATCACAAGAACTAGGAGAAGTGTTGAGAGACCAAGAGAAGTATAGGTTGTCCTCAAAAAGAAAAAAAAAAAAAAAGAAAGAAAGAAAGGAAAAGAGAAGAAGGGGAGGAGGAAGGAAAAGAAAAAGAAGTCCT